TGACTCAGGGGCTTCTAATCACATGACCGGTAAGCCAAACCTATTAAGTTCTTATAACCTTTTGTCAGGAAAGGATAAAGTGAGACTTGTAATGGCTCTTTTTCTTCCATTGTAGGTCAGGGATCAATATCCCTTCCTCAAGGACTTAACCTGAGTAATGTTATGCATGTCCCTCAGCTACCTATCAACCTTCTTTCTATTAGTAGTATCACAAATTCATTAAACTGCAGTGTAACCTTTTTTCCTAATTCATGTATTTTTCAGGATCTAACTTCTAGGAGGGCGATTGGTAGAGGAAGCTTAGTGGATGGTCTCTACACTCTCGACAACAAGGCTGGTTTCTCGGTGTCATCTTCAGAGTCTCATAGTCGGTCAAATAAGGGTCAAATTGTTTTGTGGCATAATCGGTTAGGACATGTGTCTTTTGAAATAATAAAGTCTTTGTTTCCATTTTTATTTAAGTCCTGTTCAGTGTCAGATTTCCATTGTCAAACGTGTCAATTGAGCAAGCAATGTAGAACAATATTTTCTTCAAGTAATAAAAGATCAAGTTTCTCTTTCCATATTGTGTATTCTGATGTGTGGGGGCCTACTACAATAACCTCGAAGGGTGGGTATAAGTACTTTATCACATTGATTTATGATTTATCTCGTTATACATGGATTTTTCCCATGCGTAATAGAGATGAAGTTCCAAAGATCGTAAGAGATTTCCAAAGAATGGTGTTTACACAATTCCATGTGGAAGTTTAGATTTTTCAATCCGATAATGCGAAGGAATATTTCCATGGTGAACTAAATGAGTTCTTTGCTTCCCATGGATCGATTCATAGAAGCTCATGTGCAAGAACACCACAACAAAACGGTGTTGCAGAAAGAAAGAACAGACACCTTGAGGTGGCCCGAGGGATGATGTTTCATATGAATGTTCCCAAGCAATTTTGGGTTGATGCTGTACTTGCTGTTGCTTATGTCATAAACCACATGCCCTCCAGAGTGTTAAACTACAAGGCCCCTCATCGGTCATTGTTTCCTCAGTCTCTTCTTTTTTCAATTCCCATGAGGGTGTTTGGTTGTTGTGCCTTTGTCCATGACTTGTCCTCGTCGCGTGGTAAATTGGATCCTCAGTCTATTCCATGTGTCTTTCTAGGGTATTATTGATGCTTTGATTCCGTTGGCCATAAGTTCCTTCGTCTCCATGGATGTCTCCTTTTTTGAGTTTGAACCATTTTTCCCTGCTTCTCCTCAGAGTAATGTGGAAGAGGAGAAGCAGGCCCATGTTCGTCAAGTCTTCCTTCCTTCTATTCCGTATCTCGCTCCTTTTCGTATCTTTCAACGTCAATGCCATAGAGACCAGCACTGTGACAAAGGTGTGGCACCACCAAACACCCCATTACCCAGTATATGTTCTATGACCACATTTCCCCTTCTCACCGTGCCTTCCTATCTGTAGTTGATAGTATTCCCATACCCAGAAACGTGGCAGAAGCTTTAAAATACCCTGGATGGACAGATGATATGAAGGAGATCAATGCCCTCCACAAGGAAAGACCCAGTGGGGTGTAAGTGGGTGTTTATAGTGAAACACAAGGCAGACGGGACAATTGAAAGGTACAAAGCAAGGCTGGTAGCTAAAGGGGTATACCCAAGTTTATGGTGTTGACTGTGATGAGACATTTGCCCCAATAGCCAAGATGAACTCAATATGTGTCCTATCATTGGCTGCAAACCTTGATTGGAAATTGCATCAATTGGATATTAAGAATGCCTTTTTGAATGGTGATCTGGAGGAGGTGTATATGGTTCAACCCTTTGGTTTTTGTGCTAAAGGAAGTGAAAGTAAGGTGTGCAAACTAAGAAAGTCTCTCTATGGTCTAAAACAATCTCCTCGAGCGTGGTTCAATAAATTTTGTATGGCAGTTCAACAAGTGGGGTCCAAGCAATGTCAATCTGATCACACTCTCTTTGTGAAGAGATATCGGGAACAAGTGGCTGTGTTGATAGTGTATGTAGATGATATCATCCTTATAGGAAACTAGAGCACAAAAATACAAAAGTTGAAGGAATTCCTACTCTCTCAATTTGAAGTGAAAGATCTGGGCCCCCTAAAGTACTTTCTTGGATTTGAAGTTGCCCGCTCAAAAAGGGGCATCTTCATCGCTCAAAGGAAGTATATCCTAGATCTGTTACAAGATACAGGCAAGTTAGGTACAAAGCCAACCGATACCCCTATGGATGTTGACCATAAGCTAGGAAATTGTGATGGTGAACTACTAAAAGATGTGAAACAATTTCAAAGACTAGTGGGAAGGTTGCTTTATTTGACCATGACTCGCCTAGACATTGCTTACTCAGTTGGGGTCCTAAGCCAATTCATGCATTCCCCTAAAAGACAACACATGGAGGTAGCAGAGAGGATTCTTAGGTACTTGAAGAAGTATCCAGGAACAAAGTTACTATTCAGCAAACATAATCATCTGAAGGTGGAAGTCTACACAGATGCTGACTGAGCAGGAGTTGTGGATGATAGAAAATCCACAAGTGGGCACTGTACCTTTGTAGGAAGAATTCTAGTGATATGGAGAAGTAAGAAGTAAAGTGTAGTGGCAAGGTCAAGTGCTAAAGCAGAGAATAGAGCTATGACACATGGGGTGGCTGAAGAACCTTCTAGGTGAACTTGGGTTTACTGTCCACAATCCTCTACAGTGACATTAAGGCAGCCATTAACATTACTAGTAATCCCGTCCTACATGATAGGACCAAGCACATTGAGGTGGACAAGCATTTCATAAGAGAAAAGTTGGAAAAGGGAGAAATTTGCACCCCTTATGTCAAATCTAAGGAGCAACTTGCTAATGTTCTCACAAAAGGACTACCACACCTATGACACAATGAGTTGTGTGACAAGTTGGGTATGATAGATTTATTCAACCCAGCTTGAGGGGGAGTGTTGTTAGTTTTAAATTGTTTTTCTTTATTGATGTTGTTACAATGCTGTCAGCGTAGATTGCTAGGAGCATGTTCTTTTCTTTTGTTTAGGGTGTGCTGCTAGGGTGCCAGGGGCCTATTTGCAATTTCTTAGAATTGTTATAAAACCTTTTAAATAAAAGAGAAGCTGGGTGCCACCAGCTTCAATTTCTTTCGACCCTTCATATCTTTTCTCATCTTCTTCTTCTCCTCTCCTCTCTTCTCTCTCTCTCTTCTCTGTTATTCCTCTTCTTTGTATGATTACAAGGAGTTAGGTCATTCCTCTCCTACGCCCATTCCTCTGTATGTGGATAACACTAGTGCTATTAAGATTGCCTCTAATCTTGTCTTTCATGAAAGGACAAAGCAAATTGAGGTGGACTGCCACTTTATCTGCGCTCTGTTTCTTGCAAACTCTATCTCTCTTCCTCATGTTGCTTCTGATATGCAAGTTGCTGACATCTTCACAAAGGCCATGATGAGATCTAGACACTTATTTCTAGTAAGCAAACAGATGCTCATGCCTCTGCATCAGTTTGAGGGGGAGTCTGAATAAACTCCCTGATGTACCATTTTATTGTAGTCCTCATTGTATTGTTTTCTTATTTATTATTATTTTCACTTCAGCCCTGCAAGGGCCTCTCTGTAATTTCTGTAATTTTACTTTCTATATAAAGGACCCTTGGGGTAGGGTTGAATCATCCATTCTTCATCCCCATAATTTTGTATTCTGCTCTGGGTCTGTTGACATGCCATATGTTGGAACATATGGAAGGAGAGAATAGAAGAATATTCGAAGACAAAGCTTGCAGTATGGATAGGATGGTAGCCGCAGGCAGGTAGCAGATCTGTGGCAGATTGGGTGTTGGTGCTCCCATAATTTAGGCAAATTGATAAGGAGGATTTGGGGAATAAGTTGGGGGAGGTTTTGGGTATTCAAATATGTAATGTGGAAAACTTACTTTGATTTCTCAGTTTGTTTAGTATCTGGGTGATGACTTGTTGCCCATCAGATTGTAAACCTCTTTTTTTTTCTTTGTTCTAATGAAAGTTTTTCTTTACTTATCAAAAAAAAAGTCCCTAATTCAAATATGATGACATCCACCAATAAGACCTACTTCCAAGAATGCCTGCACAATTTGGTTCAGTTTGACTTAGTTGATTGGGAGGCTTTCTGTGTCTGGCTCTTCCTTTAATGGATAGACTTGATGGTTTCATGTTTTTTACGCTATTCTAATTAATTTCTCTAATCTGATTAATTAAAATGAATACCTGCCTATAATTCAGAATATTTCACATCTCTAATGCTTGGAATAATGATAGAAAATTTTGGCATTTATAGTTGCAATACCTTGGGTGTCATATAGACAGACTTATTTATATCCTTTTGGGGACAGGTAAATAAATGGATTAATATCCTTTAGGAGATCCGTGTTTTGGGTCACTTGTTTCATTAGTATATGTTCCTTCAGAGACATTAGAAATTTATCTATTTGTTCGGTTGCAGCCCAAGTTCCTCTGCAGGAAGTGTGATAGCCCAGGGGAAATATAACATTAATCCATTGGGTTGGGTCCATGTTTGGATACATGGACCATATTTGGTCCTTGCCTTGATACCTGATGGAATACGTGATCCAACACCTTGTATGGATGGATACATCATAGCTCTTATCAAACCACTGAATTTAATATTGTTTAACATGTTTGTATTTCTTAAGCTTCAAAATTTGAAATATTTGATTGGCATAAAAAAATTGACCACTACCAGTCAATTAGAATATTGCAATTTTTTCCTTCTTATTTTTCTTTATTTTCTTTTTCCCCCTGAAGGTGTATGCAATCCAAAATAAGTGATGACTGACGAGACATAACCATCGTTGCTGTTGCATGCGAAGGTTTTCAAATTTTCAATGCTTTTGATTGACAATTGGATACTGTAGCAAGTTTGGTTTCTTTAGGAACTCACTATACTTGTATATGTATCTTAGTTAAAACTATTTGTGGTAAAATGTCATATTTTTCTCTTTTATAAGGTTTCGGAGATGGAAGCTTGTTTGCAAGAAGTTAATAATACAATACCAAGTCGGGAAGTGCTCCTTACTCTCGCTGAAAAGTTTAGGTATCACTTTGCTGTTGCCTATATATCTTGCTTGTTTCCTATAAGAGCATTAGCACTTAATATTGTCACAATGAAATTGGGAGAGAGGAAAAGGTAACATAATTATGTTTGGGTGTAGTGCATCTCCTGAACGAGCAGGAAAGATTGTTGTGCAACCAAAGCAGGTCAGAGACCTTGCAGTTAATTTGTCTGTAGAAAGGAAATCTTTCAGAACACTTCTCCGGAACCTTATGCTTATTTTGGAATCACTTTCAGGTGTGGAATTGGTTCCAAAACAGAAGGTATGCTCAGAGGGCAAAATCAATCAAGACTCCTGGGAAGCTGAGTGTCTCACCTATGCCTCGGGATGATACAGTTCCAGTGAGAAATATACCTCAGCCTGTAACTGTTCCTGCTGGTACTTTTTATAAACTATATTGCCTTAATTTCTGCTTTATGCTTTGGGTTTTGATGGAAGTGTGGTTATTGGGTAAATGCATCCATCTTATAGTTATGGTCTTGGTCTTTGTTTTTAAGACATCGCGACCAATAGACATGCAATACTTACAAACAACTTGTAATTCTTAACCACATCTAAAGAACACTGCTAAATGACTAGTAAACAGAAGCTTAATGACTGAATTAGAAATGCAAAAGAAAATGATTACCATTATTTTTATTAAGAAAAAATGTAATAGCTTTATTGGTCAATGCAGAGGATATGTTTTATGACACATCTCATAGACTAATTAAAACATGGCAACTATAATAAGATTTCCCAGTGTAAATCCTTTTTTTCATTTTTTTCCTCATAATTTGTCTTCATTTTCTTGTGTGTTTTTGATCATAAAGAAAATGTTAAAAAAATAAAAAAAGTATTACAAAGGGACAAGTGATGGGATATCACCCCCAGTAAATGCGAACTTGACTGCTTGATACCCCTCACCTCATCCCCACCCACTCAATTTTCATTCCTCCTTTCCAAACAAATAAACTCAATTCCTTTCTCCACAAAATCTGAAAATGCCTGCTTAAAATAACATAACTCACGTCATTTTCAGCTGATCACCCTCCAATCCAACTGCAACCGGTCATCCATATCTTACCTGCAAACCTCAATTCTATGCTTCCTCAACTGCTATCCTCAAAACCAAACATCTATCTCTCCAGCCTCCAAGACCCCTATTTACAATCTTCCCCAAACTGCAATACTGCAATCTAACAAAAAAGTAAAAAAGAATAAAAAACTTCCCCGAACTGCTGACACACCTTCATTTAGGCTGCGTTTGGGGGGCTTTTACTCTCTAAACGGGCTTTTTAATAAGCACTGTCTGAATGAACGCTTATAAGACAAGCACTTTTTAGTGTTTGGTAGTAAGATGTTTAAAAGAATCTAATTTTGCTCTTGTGGTGGAGATGTTCTCAATAGCAAAATAGTCTATGGAAAAGGATGATCATTCAAAACATGGGACCAGAAACAGAGATTGTGATCCAGGTCTGGTTAACAACTCCTATGGTTGTGTTGTCTGGGAAGGCATTGAGAAATGATATTTCATCAAAAGCATTAAACTGGAAGTTGGCGATGAGCAAGGGAGGACTTCTGAAATGATGTATGGTGCATGGAGAGACATTTGAAGGATGTATTTCCCTCACTGTTTGATTTGGCACTCAACAAGGACTCTAGTGAAGGAAAATTATGAAGTCCAAGATGACGAAATTTGTGTGGGGCCCTTAGGAGGAGCCTAAATGATTGGGTGGTAGAGTCAGCTGTAGAGCTTAGAGCTACTACAGACGTTGCAGGAAGTCAAGGTAAACAGGAACCAAGGTGACAAAAGGATTTGGGCATGGAAAAGTTCGAAGAACTTCTCAGTAAGGTCATGTTATAGGGGCTTGTTTCGGGGGGGGGGGTGCAGATTTCCTTGGTCCTAGGATGTCAAGGTAAACAGGAACCAAGATGACAAAAGGRTTTGGGCATGGAAAAGTTCGAAGAACTTCTCAGTAAGGTCATGTTATAGGGGCTTGTTTCGGGGGGGGGGGGGTGCAGATTTCCTTGGTCCTAGGATGTGGTGCCCTATGGTCCCATCAAAAGTTTCTTTTGTGCTGTGGCTGGCAGTGCAAAATAGATGCCTTACATCACTTCATCTATTTTGCACATGTTACAGGGGCTTGTTTTAGGGGGGGGAGGGGGTGGCAGATTTCCTTGGTCTAAGATATGGTGCCCTATGGTCCCATCAAAAGTTTCTTTTGTGTTGTGGGCAAGGTTTAAAATTTCAATACGGTATGCCCGATACAGGGCGTATCGTATCGTATCTTTGAAAAACAGATACAGGATACACATGGAAATCGGGTGTTTCGTCTTTTTTCATGCTTATTGGACCCGTATCAGGGGCGTAATTGAGGCGTATCGGTAGCGTATCGACAAAAAAGATACGACCAAAAACTAAAAAGAAATAAAGGGGGAAAGCAAGATTCTTTTCCCTGAAATAATCCTTCTTTCAATCCCAAATGACTCTAAAACTCCAAACCTCATTCCTAAAATGCTAGATTTGCAAAAATTTGCAAGAAACAAGTGTGAATCGTTAATTTTTTTTCAAGATTTTTCAAATTTTGAAAAAATTTGGCAAAAATAAGTAAAATGTTTCAATTTTTTATAATATCTTGTGATTTCTTTTTCTTTAATGTATAAATTTATGTTGATCTACATTTCTTACATTGAAAATCACAATTTTTTTTTGTTATCAATAGATTTATGGAAATTTTATGATGATATTTGGGGAAATATAAATTAACAAAAAATTGAAAAATGTAGTTTTTTTTCTCTACCTCTAAAGACTAAATATGTTTTAGATGTATGGATTTATCTATCATATCCATAGAGCAATTGAAATTTCTTCTTTAATATTTTTTTATTTTTTATATTTTTAGAATTAAAAAATAAATAATAATTAATAATATTTTATCATTTGGTCACAACAATTGAATATATTATAATTCTATGGATGATTTATTGGAATTTCTTCTTTAATAATTATTTTTTTTTTATTTTTAGAATTAAAAATAAACAAATAATTAATTATATTTTATCACTTGATCACAATGATTGAATATATTATAATTCTATGGATCATCTATCATATCCAAAAAGCAATAACTATTTTTTGAATATATTATATAATGTTTATTTATTTTTTCTAATTTTTGAAAATAAATAATAAATAATTATTAATTATATTTTCACTTAGAAGTTGTGCCTATGCATGTTTTATGGTTGGATAGGAGAGTTGGGTTTTCCCCATCCCTTAAAACATTAAAACTTAAGAATTTTAATTTATAAATTATAGTTGAGCATAGGATTTTTAATAAAATTATAATTAACTACAATATATTTCTTCATAAAACCATTAAAATATATTAGTTTAATGTATATACACCTCATTGAGGTCTTATATTTAGTGTTGATGTATTTTTATGATTTATTAAAGTATTTATAGTGTTTCCAAGCATATCTATGCGTATCTTAGTTTTTTTCTGATACGCACGCGTTTCCAAGGCATATCCTGATACGTCTCTTAAGATTGCCTTTTCGATACACTTGGCGTTTCCGATACTTTGATCCTCGGCTGTGGGTGGCAATGCAAATAGATGCCTTACTATGGACAACTTATTGAAGCAAGGGATGGTGGTGAATAATCCAAACTAGTTTGCTTTCCAGCAACAACAAAAGAGTTCTTGGAAGCATTGCATATGGGGAAATTGAGTAGGAAGGACAAGTTAATGTGGAAGATGGTAATGGCCAGTTTGTTGGGCTATTTGGGGAGAGAGATGCTCATACTATTGAAAGCAAGAGTAGTGAAAAAGCTTTGGTAGCTAAGAAAATTGTAGGGATGATTTTGTCATGGTCAGCCATGCATAAGCTGTTTAAAGGAAGACTGTACATTTTTGATTTTGAGCTCTTGTTTTCATAAGAATTGAAAAGGAAATATCTATTTACAATTTTTTGTAAGTTCCCAATGTACAGTCCCTTGTTGTACAAGGACCTTGTTAATGAAATACTTTACTTTTTTTTTGAAAAATTTGTTTTTTTTTGATAATTGAAGAAATATGAGAACTGTTAGAAGCAGCCCATTGAGAGGCACGTGGTGCGACCTCCCTTAAAAAGTAAAAATCACATAGCACTAAGTAAAAATCTGCCATAGCGTTTGCAGACCTGCCAACCCACTGTATGCTAACATTCATGTTTCTTAGTAACCAGTTGGCCTTTGTTTTTAGATTTTCTGCAATTCCTCTCTAACTAAATGCCCAAAATATGCTCGCTCTAGTGCAATGTTGCAATGTTTTAAAACGCGGAGGCATTCCACTACCTAGAGGCATGAGGCGTAGTTTAGAATGCAAGAGGCGTAAGCCTCCCGAACACAAGAAGGCGTAATCCTCCTTAAGAGGAGGGGGGTTAGGAGGATGATGAAGAGGAAGGGGGGATCTCATTTTTAATAAAAATCTTTTATATTAAGAAAAATAAAGATGCATAACAGTAGTTGAAAGGGGGGGGGGGTCTTGTCGAAAAGGGGGCAAAGCCCCCCTGCCGAAGGGGCAAGGGGCAAACCACTTATCAGATGTGCATGAGGCGCATGAGGCGTACGCCTCTAGCACGCCTCATGAAAAAAGTGCAAGAGGTGTACGCCTCTTGCACCTGAGGCGTATGCCTTAGAGGTGTCAGTGCCTCTGGCATATGCCTCAGGGCGTTTTGGGAGCGCTTCACCTGGAGGCGCGTCTCCAGGCATACGCCTCCCACACGTTTCAAAACACTGCAATGTTGTAATTCCATAAAAAGATTCCCTCTTTTAGTACTAGTAGGAACTAGTGGTAAAGAACTTAGATCCATGATCTCCATGGTAGCATATTGAGTGGTACCAAAAAGAGGCAAAAGTGATTCTATACCTTAGAAGTGAAACAAAAATCAAGAAAAATGTGGTTGAAACTTGGACCACTTTTCAAGATAATGTAAACATGGAGTTAACAAGGTTCAAAAATTGTATCTTTTAGTATCCAATATGCCTATTTTAAGGCATTTTAAGAAGTTTTCTAATAATTAAAACACATAAAAATAGCCGCCTCCAAAATTTTGAAAACAAAACTGAAAAAATCACAGGGTTCAAAAGTACGAAATACCCTGTCTGGCCTATCAGGGTGTATTGATATTTTGAACCTTAGGAGTCATAGGCACCAAGTTATCTATCTACATTGGAACATCTGACTAATGTTGATTATCTTCAATGAGGCTTTCTAGGAAAATGCTTTGATTCTAGGAGTGGGACCAGCCAAAATGCTTTAGTTGGGAATGGATTAGGGCAGAGGGGGGAACCATGGAAGGCCTAACAGATTAGGCACAAGGAAGAAAGCCCTACAGGTTCAAGAGATCAA